GTCAGTGCAGGAGCAGCTGCTGCTGGGAGGAAGGAAGTGCAGGCTGATGGACACTGACGCATCTCCCGGCACGGCACCAGAGGAGGCAGCAGTGATGCTGGGGGGCGGTTGCAGAAGAACATGAGGAGCTCCTCAGCAGGAAGCCACAGACCCTGCAGAAAGCTGCAGCGGACTCAGAGCACGCGTGGATGCCCAGGAGGAAATGCAGGCCCAGCGTTTGAGCAGCGCCTGGCCATGAAGTGCTGCGGCCCAAGAACAGAGCTGTTCTGCCTTTGCCCAGATGGCTTTCCAAGGTGGACTCGTCTGTCCTCACAAAAACCAGAGGGCTGACTTATCCAAATGCTGCCTGATTGCTTGGGAGCCCAAATCCTTCCGGCCTCCAATCTGGGGGAGCCTGGGGGCAACATCTCCTGGATTTGACCATGCAGTGCCTGAGCGAGAGGATGACCCAGGCTGGTTACACAAGAGTCATCTTAATTTCTCTGTTTTGTTACTTCAGCTAACCCCATTGGGCGGCCCTCATGTTTTCTTACAATTTGGTACCAGCCCTGGTGGCTTTGGGCCAGAGCCCAAAAGGCTTCATGCAGCCCAGGGGCTCACAGCCACAGCCCCAGTTCGAGAGGCTGGCACACGCCCTGGGCCTAAAGATGCTGCCAGAGAAGCCGGGAGTGGCCCTGGGGCCTAAACACACAGCCAGAGAGACTGGCACCGGCCAAGGGACCTGAAGCCACAGCCTGAGCGGCCAGCACTGACCCTGGGTTGAGGCACAGCCAGAGAGGCTGCACTGGCCCTGGGCCTAAACCTGGAGCCACAGCACGAGAAGCCAGCACCAGCTTCGGGCCTGAAGCCACAGCCTGAGAGCCGGCCCTGAAGTGTTAAGCTCCAGCCCGAGAGCCAGCACCAGCCCTGGCCCATAATGCCGCGGTTACTGCCACAGGGGCAGCGCCAGAGCTGGGGCTGACAGCCACACCTACAGCCGGGCGGGCTGGCACCGGCCGTGGAGCCTAAAGCCAGTCCTGAAAGGCCGGCACCAGGCCTAGGCCTGACGCACAGCCCGAGAGGCCGGCACTGGCCTGGGGCCCAAAGCCAGAGGCAGAGGCCGGCACCGGCCCTGGGCACAGCTGTGCCTTCCTGTTGCTTTCTGCTGATTCCTATAGGGCTCCACTGACTGCTCTGAGGCCATGCTTCTCCTTACTGGTTTTCACTTGGCCATGCTGCACGTTTCTGGTCTGTACTGCTGTACACTCCTCCCAGCTCCTACTTGTTCCTCTGGGACCCCGCTGACCACTACGAGGCCATACTGCATTTTTACTGGGCTGCACAAGGGTCGTCTTCACTTCTCTGTTGCTTTACTTCAATTAACTCCCATTCAATTAACCCCCATTCAATTAACTCCATTCACCCCATTGGTCAGTCTCATGTTTCCTAAAACTTGGATCTGGGAGGTGACCACTCCTTTGCCTATGATGCAAGCACAGAGGTGATACAGGCACTTGCTGAGGTCACAGTGGTTGCCGGGCTGGGAGCGTCTGTGCCCCAGCTGGGAGCAGAGCTGGTGCTCTAGTGAGCGTGCTGCACACGGAGACTGAGCTCTGTGCTTTTCGAGAGAGAGATCCTCCTTTAGAGCCCACTGGGAGCAGCACTGCGGCGTGTGCATCAGCTGGGCACCGCTCCGGCTGAGCAGGCTGACCAGGTGAGCTGGGGTTGGTGCTGGGTGGGTGCTGGGAGGTATCAGCAGAAAAGCTGTCGGTGCCCTTCTGAATGGCTGTACCCAGGGGATGCCCAGCAGGTGTTTCAGCAAACCGCGCTGAAGTCATGGCAGAGAGCCAGGTGCTCAGCTGGGGACATGGACGGTCAGCACACCTGTGGGGGAAAAGGGGACCTGGGGGCATTTGCTGACAGAAGCCGTGGCAGTCAGGCACCAGCTGCAGCTAGGGAGGGGCAGGCAGTTCTTGCAGCCAGCTGATTTCCAAGCATTGCCTTCCTCAAGAGACGACATTGCATGGCAGAAGAAAGCTGGAAAAATGCTTCTTCCTCATGATTTTTCCCTTGTTGATGCTTTCTGTAGGTTCCTCTCCAAAAGGAGAACTCAGGAATCCAGGCAGCTGAAGACTGCAGTGCTGCAGGTGATGTCAAGTAAGGAGTCTGGAGTGCAGGAAGGGGCAGTGAGAAGTGAACTATCAGTTGTGTTTGGGCTGTCAAAGTAGCATCTTTCTGTTTTCTGGGGGGACATGGGCTTACTGGACAATACTTGTGCTGCCTGCTGGTGTCTGTGAAATCAACACACGATCTGTTCTTGTAAGGACAAAACCTGTGCATCTGTGGAATGGTGCAGGGCAAGGAGGGAAACTTAAAGCCTCCGCAGGTAAGAAGCTCCTGCGAGCTGTGGTGTGGGCACTGCCTCTAAACAGGGCTGCACGAAGGGCTGTGTGTGATGGAGGGGAGAGGAAGGGACTGCAGTTCTGTGCTGACTGCAGAAGTGGCACAAGGCTGCAGCAGCAGAAAGGCAAATTGACAAAACTGCTGCTGAAGACCAGAAGTTTGTGGTTGGCAGTGCTCAAATCTTCCTCCAAAGAGATGCTCTTCATGTCTTTCTTGTCTCCTTTGTGTCAGAAGCTGATGCCAGTGGCCTTCCTCTGAAGCGCAGCCATGTGGAAAGCCAGGAGTGTGGCACAGCACCCAAGAGAGGTACAGACACACAGCAGGCATCTGGGTTTGGTGCACTGTCTTTCTAGTTAGGCTTTCTGCCTGTTCTTTCCTGGGACTGTTCTCATTGCGTGTTGCTTGGGGTTTTAATCCCTGCGATTGACAGTTACCTCTCCTGTCCTGATTTATAATGGGATCCCAGCCTTCACCCAAGATCCCTTGCTGTGAACGTGGTACAGGAGAGCTGGCATTGACTCTTTGGGATTTTTTCTTGCTTTTCCCAGCAGTGGCGAGCAGCTCGGATGCGCCGGAGGACATCACGGACATCCAGGGTTTGCTCTCTTGGATCAATGGTGAGTTTGGGGCTGCAGAGCTGCAGGTGCGTGTTTGCACAGAGTGGGTGTGAGAAGGCTCTCATCGCCATTTGGGGGATGTTTTTGCATTTTCAGACGTGGCAAGAGCTGCTGAGGTCCCCCACGAGAACCCCAGCAGCCCTGTCCCCGGATGTTTCATCGGTGAGCTCCCTGACAACCTTGGGGACAGCAGAGAGCTCAGCACACAGGCTGCTACCGGGATGCCCACCGACCCCTTCTGGGGGCTTCCTCCATCCCCCGGGCTCCTGCCTGAGCTGCAGTGCGGGCTGTCGGAGCTGCGCCCCATCGTGCCACCAGCGAGCGCCCGGCTCAGCCCACGGCCGACCACCCTGGCTGTCAGCGCACCTCCCTCAGTGCAAACTGCACAGCCCACCGAGGAGGTGCAGCAAAGGCAACCCCAGGAGCTTCAGGCTCACTCGCCCCCGTCGCCAGGCTCTGTCCCCAGCCGGGTGGCAGAAAAGAAGAACAGGGGCAGCACCAAGCAGGGGGCCAAGCGCCCTGCGCCTGCCAGCACCCTGCAGAAAGGGGAGAGTTCCCAGCAGGAGCAGCCCACCAGCAGCGCTCCTGCCAAGAAAAGGAAGCTGCCACCCCGCGGGGAAAGAGCAGAGAGGAAAGGCCGCAAACAGCCGTGCCAAGCAAAGCTGTCTGGGGCCGGTGCAGGAGCCAGCGAGCTGCGCAAGCACCTGCAGCAATGCATCCAGGCTGTGCAACCGCTGGGGCAGAGGGTGACTGCGGTGGGCCCGGTGCACCAGCCACCCTCAGTGCAGCCCCAACCCTCAGCCAGCGCTGGCCCTGCTGCCCTCCAGCCCCAAGACAGCCATGCACACAAGGCAGAACCGACAGCTCCAGGTAACACGGTGCAGGAGGAGGGCGCTGCCAAGGGGGTGCCGCCGAGCTGCCCGTGCCCATCCCCGCAGAGGAGCTTGGCGCTGCAGAGGGACCCACTGCCACCACCACCACCACCACCACCAGCGCTGCACCAGCAGCAGCCTCAGCCCCGGCGCCCCGTGGACTTTGTGCCCTGCGTGGGGCCGCATGCGGGTGGCTGTGTAATACTGCTGGTGATGGAGGAGTCGCTGCCCATCACAGCGGAGCAGCGGCCCGAGCAGGAGCGCATGAAGAAGCTGGCCCAGGAAGAGCGGCAGCGGGCAGCCCAGCAGATGAAGATCGGCCCCGTGCAGTTCCTGGTGCAGCGGGAGATAGACATGGCCATCGCCGACCAGTACGGCTACCCGTAACCCTGCGCTCCTCACCGGCCCGCAGCACCAGGCAGCAGCGGCAGCGTTCCAGGGGCCCTGCCAGCGGCCCCATCCCTCCCCTCCACAACCGAGCCGTCCTCCGAGTCAGCACAGCAGTGGGATGGGATGTTGTCCGGGAGCTCAGCTGTGGTGGGACTGGAATTTTAGGATTACTGTTGTTTCTGTTTCTCGTTGTACTCTAGGATAGGTTATTAAAAGCTTTGCATTCCATTTGCTACGTCCCTCTGCCTGCAGTCATTTGTGCTGTGTCACAGCCCCCCAGCTCCCCACGCCCGCCTCCGGAGCAGGACAGGCACCAAGGATGGCCCACGGTGTCCCTCAGCTGCCACCAGCAGCCCCAGCCCTCCTCTCTCCCTGCAGTCCTTTGTGCAGCTGGATGCAGAGGGCGTTTCACAGAGCTCCCCTGCGCTGCCCAGTGCTGTGAATTGCCGTGGGGATGGGCAGCAGGCAGGGCGGATGGAGGGGAATGGCCCTGGCTCACTACGGCCAGAAGAGACTCCAGCAGGGGCAGCTCCTGTGGAGAGATGAAGCAGGGGCAGCAGGGCCTGCTGTGCAGATAGGCATAAAGATACCTCCCATGCCATGGCTCTTCCACCCCCACCTTGTTTGCAGCACCATTTAGCAATCCCCCCCACTAGTATTTATAATAGTTAGCTCAAAAAATCCAGATTCTTTTTAAATATTGTTTTTAATTAAAAGACAAACCTGCAGCCAGTGCTGTGAATCTTCTTCACTGGACTGGGAGCTCCTCCTAGCAGTGAATTCTCTCTCTGTACCATTGCTTCTGTAGCAGTTAGTGTTTGCCTCCATATCCCTCTGGGGTCTCTGCATGTGTCCCTTTCTGGAATCTTACTCCTCATTGGGAAACACCCTCACACCTTTCCTCTTTGCTTTTGTGTATGGAACACCTGTAATTTGTCCTCCTTTGCATGAACTTTATTACAACCTTTGGGCTGTAATACCCATGACAACAAAAACACAACTTGCGTTTTAAAGTGACGCTGCTGTGTTTCGTACCAATTTCCAGATCAGTGCTCCTTTGGTCTCTGACGTAGGACATAATAACCTATCCTAAGGTAGGGTGAAGGGGAGCGGCATGAAGCTGCGTGCGTTCCCTGCTGCGGGGCCGTGCTGGCGGCGGGGGGTTGGTTTGCTTTTTCTTGGCGGGGGGGCAGGAGCTCTGGGTTAGAGGAGCATCCTGATGGCACGCGTGGGATCAGCAGCTCTGCCACAGGAGGAGGTGAGGCTGCACGCCAAGCTGCAGGAGAGGAAGGGGAGGAGGTCCCGGCCCAGCTCTGGACGGTGCTTTGCGGCACTGGGCAGCTCGATCCTGGCTCAGCAGTGGGATCACACGAGGAGCGGGGGAGGCAGGGAGGGCACTGCCAAACACAGCTGGGGTGTCTCTGTGCAGTTTTGCCTCCCCGGGAGGAACCCAGAGCTCCCCGGTTTGTTTCTGCTCCTGTAGCATTTGTATGCAGTGCGAGCATAAGGTTCTGCTGCCTTCTTCTTCTTCTGGCCTTTGGTATCTTCAGGGGGGCTGCAAGAAAGAAGGGGAAAGAGTTAGAGAGTTTAGATTGGACGTATGGAAGAAGTCTGTTACAATAAGGGTGGCACTGCAGCACAGACACTGAGGGACCCTGGGGATCTCTGGAGCTCTGAGCACTGTGTGTCAGGGCCTGGGGATGGATGCGATGGAGGGCGCCATCCCTGCCCCGTACCAGGGGGACCATTGCCACCTGCAGAGCTTCCCTCATGCTTTGGACATCTGTGCAGAGGAAGAGGGTCTCGAGGTGTCCTAGGGATGTGATCAGCTCTGACATCCTCCAGTGATCAATAAAGCCCTCAGCAGAGCCACGCTCTGTGTCTGCGTCCCCATGCTCAGCAGGGGCTGTTCGCATCTGCTCCTGCCTGGCAGAGGCCACCTCTAAGTGGTGGGAGGGGTCCCCAGCTCCATACCCCGCACTCCATGTGCTGCACCCATGGGCCTCTCCATCCCTTCTGTGCTGCCTGCTCCAAAAAGGACAGCTCCCTGTGCTGCCAAGTAGCCCCAGTACCCTCCCTCTGCTCTCTTCCAGTCCTTCCTTCCAGTTCCTCCCAAACCCTTCACCCTTTCTTCCACCTTCTCTACGGCCTCCTTTTACCCCCTTCTCTTATCGCAGCCAATTGCCCCTCACTTGGATCTGCTTCAGCCCTTCAGTCCCACTTCCCCTCCATCACTACCTACCCAACAAGGAATCCCCAAATCCCCTCCCTCGGGCACCTCAAATCTCCTCTGATGACCGATGACACCCTCTACTGATTAGCAAAGCCCTCTGACCTCAGTGAAGATCTCTGATCATCAGTGGAGCCCTCTGACAGCCAACGAAGCCTTCAGTGACCTCTGACACTCCCTCATGGCAAATTGAGCCCCTGATGATCAGCGGGCTGCTGTATCACATGCAGGAAAGGGAAGTGAAGGGCGAGAAAGAATATTTTGACATCACTTGGTAGACAGCATGGTTTGCTCATCACAGAATAAAGATCTGTTTGGATTTAATCAAGCACCGAATTTGGAGAGAAGTGTGACTGCACCACCCCTGTGTGCGCTGCCCGCTGCCTGGGACCGGCTGCCTGGTTCTAAGCCCTCCTCCAAGAGGCTCAGCTGCTCCTCAGCGATGCCGACCCGCTCCTCGTGGAGCTGCTGCTGGCCGGGCACTCGGACTCCGCTTGGCTGGGCTGCACTGCAAAGACACTGGGTCACAATCCAGGCTGGGGACTGCAATGGCTGCTGGGCTCAGGTCAGCATCTTCAGCAGAGCCAGGAGAAACGAGGGCGGGAGGGTGGATGAGCTCCTTATCCCCATCACTGTTGTGCTGTGGAAGGCAGCCATCAGACCTGCAGCGATTCGTGCTTCCTGAGAGCTCGGCACTGAAGGAAGCACTCAGTGCACCACCACTGGGCCTGGGTCGAAACCACTTAGATTCACCTAGGAATGAGCAGATACACGGGGTGAGTGTCAAGTGTGCAAGCAGGCCACGCCACTGGGCTGATGACCAGAAGCTCGGTAGCACTTACAGTCCTGTGTCTGACTGCATTCCGTATCTCCAACCACGTCCTTGCCCCAGATCGGGGGAGTGGATAGTCCATTCCTGGGTGGCCCACTGTGCCATGCAAAGAGTGAGCCCCCGGCACACAGCCCAACTATCTGTGCAGATGTTCAGGATACCATCACCGGCTCTCTTGCTCATAACCATCCACACGGCTCGCAGTTCTGCCCATTGGCTGCTCTGACCATCCCCCTCGTCGAACCAGATCGTCTCGCTGGAAGGATGGTACGCTACTGCTCTCCACTTGCTCGGGTTGCCCTTGCTGGACCCATCTGTGCACCAGGCATCTTCAGGGATCGGAGATTTTCCCTCCTGAATGGGACTCTGCTCTGGTGGAGCGACCAGTGTTTCTTTTGGTGCATCACTCCCTGAAGCTTGGGAGACAAAAGTCAGTTGAAAGACTAGAACAACACAGAGCAGGAGGGGGAAGTGCAAGTGCTCGCCCAGAGACAGAAAAAAGGTTTATTCAAGTATTACAGTATGACAATCATGCACTGCAAATACCCCAGTGAAGTGAAAATCTGCAGTCAGTCCAGGAAGCCTGAGGTTTCAGCATTCACAACAGAAGCCAGCTAACAGAAGCACTGTGGGAGCTGTATCTGCCTGTGCCCCTTCTCTCATGAAGCCCAACAGGAAACATTTGTGCTCAGCTGCTACTTTAAAACACCACAGTCACTGTTCCAACAGCCCTCCTGCTACCTCTTCCGTCAGAGCTGTGCCTGCAGACCCCAGACAAGGCCGGGGTGCTCTGCTTTATCCAGAATAACAAAAACATGCAACGGCAGGAAGAGAAGAAGTTTGCACCTGCAACGCCCTGCCTATTTCTCTCTTCTGCTATTTGGTGCACTGCCAATACATGACCAGCCCCACCACTCCAATTTTTCTTTCTGAATTAGCAATAAGGCAAGTAAGTGGGAAGCAAAGGCATCTGGCAGCGATGCCAGTCAGCTCCTGCAAAAAGCAGCTCACCTCATACTTGGGGCCAAGTGAGAATGAGGAACATCCCGACCTGTTCCTGATCACAGTGCAAATGTGAGCCCTTTTCAGACTGGAACCCTTTGGGCATTCCCTCTTTAAAAACAACAGCAACAACAGCATCACTGGAAGCTCACTGAAGTCCACCGACCAAATCACCAGAACAGAAACAATGGGAGATGGCAGAGGTCTCAAGTAGCTGCAAAAGGAGCGTTAGGGCTTCAGGGCTGTTGGTTAGTTTGGTTTGTCATAGCAGTTAAGAAAGCAGGGAAGTGAGAGAGTTTTGTATTAACAGAGTTCAAAACAGACCTCAGAGCTCTGATTCCGGCTGGGAGCTCTGTGCACCGTACCCAGCACCAGCCATCTGTCTGTGCCTTGCAGCACTTTGCTCCAGCAGGCAGGCCGTGCACTTACTGCATTTTCTCTGCTATCTCAGACAACACACAACAGCATCATTTTAATCCCAACTCCATCCCGGATGCAACCCCTGGGAGTCCAACTCCTCATATTGTGCAGAGCAGGCAGTGCCCTGGATGATGCCACAGAGATCATCACTGTGACAAACCGACAGTAAATAAAGCAACCGCTGCGTTTAGAGTTACCAACACTAAAGACAGAGGTGCTCACCACACTCAAATTCCAGACTGGTTTTGGGCATGCGTTCCCATCTTTGTCTTTCCCCATGGTGAGTTTAACTTTCACCTCACTACTTACAGCTGTGAGGGCAAATTTATGCCACCTAGTTTTACACATCCAACAGTCAGCTAGCCAAGACCCAGCTAGCACTGTCTAGGCTCCCTGTGAAGTTAATCCCAATAAATATGCATCTCCAGAAGGCAAATAACTGCAGAGCAGTGGCTCCAGAGAGCAACTCCTACCAGGAGCTCTGCAAAACACTCTGATCCCAGATCTAACCTATTGCTGCAGTGTCAGAGATGAGTCTGCACTCATATGTTCCCTTCCCAAATCGCACTGCACAGCTGTTTCTCTCCTGCCTTCATGCAGTGAAGTCACCTCTCCAAAGCCTCAGGCCTTCACGCTCGAGCTTCCTCAAGCTGCCACCTTGGGATTCTGTCCATCTTGGGTTCTACTGGTGAAACAGCAACAGTGGCAACTACAGGAGACGTGACAGGATTTAAAGTTTAGAAAATAACTACAAAGAAAACCACAACACAACAGTCAGGTAACGGTGACCTCATTTCCTAAACTGTCTTTATGCCAACCACAACTTTAGGGTTTCAGAGACCTTGGTGCATTATCAGCTTGCTCTAAAAATGCCTTATCTGCAAACCAGAAATGAGCATCTCGCAGCTTTCAGACAAGCACCATCCAAAACAAAATGGAAGAATGCCACAAACTTGCATCCCCCCGAGTAAAAAGCCAGAAACGTTATTATTCATACCAAACTCTTATACACAAAAGCTCCTATGTCTTTTAAAATATCTTAGCTCTTAGTCCATCACAACAACAACGCCTCACACAAATGGGCCCATGCTCAGACTCCTACAATACAGACTTAATCTTCAGTGCATTGTGCTAGAAAAGCATTCATTTCACTGTCACTTTGAATCAGGTCACGAGAAGAGTGGTAACACTACAGCCAGAATGCTGAAAATCAACTGTGGAGAGGAAGTTTTGGAAACAACACGCCATAAGAATGACATGCTGTGAAAATGCAGAAAACTGCTTGCTTGAGGCTGCGCTGCTGGACTGAGGCAGAAGAGGCCACACTGAGCAAAGCCTCTGGAATTCCCCGAGGACGGCACTGCAGCTGTGAGAAGGAACTTGGGAATGTTGTACACTCAGAGCTAAGCAGCACTCGAGGGATTCTGCACCAGACAACAGTTCAGGCGCAGGGCCTTGGAAGAAGATCTGAAGTGAAGCCTGTATAACAGAGTTAAGAGCCAGAGCCAAAGGGCACCGAAAATGAAAACACTGCAGGGCAGTGTGAAATGAGAGGAGCAGCAATCCAGAGACCACTTCAAATCTCTTAAAAATATACAGAGGGACTCATTTAATTACACACTGGACACAGCCAAGAGCAGTTTTGGTTTGCTCTTCTCTTCCCTGTTTCAGCTCGTTACATTTGCACATCATGTTACTGTTACAAAACAACAACAAAACCTACCCAAAAAATGCAACTAAGCTGAACAAGGACTGCATCAGTGAAGGAACAGAGCCATGGCAGCTGTGTGCTGCACCAGCCCACCCTGCACAGTCACGGTGTCAGCACTCAGCCACAACCCACCGTGCTGCTCAGCGGAGGGCTTCAGCCCTACGTTACGCTGCTCACAAGAAGGGGGGTTCTACTGAAAGCCAGGGAAGCAGCAGATGTGCAGGGAGGAAAAGCTCCTCCGTCCTTAACTATGGCTCACGACCAGATACGGGACTGAGAAATTGCACTGTGATACCCCAGAATCAGCAAGAAGCAAAGCACGTGGTCATTCTTACAGGAGGTCCAGAAATGAAAGAGCAGCGTAAAAAGAAAAACAGAGGTGAACAGATTTGCTTCAGTGCTTGCTCAACTCAGGCAAACCTAATTTGGAGAAGAAAATCGAAGTTTTTAACTGAGCTTGGAGGGACTTACGAAACAGCAGGTCAGCCTGGATCCAGCTGAGCTCCTGGATCAGCTGTTTTCTGTTGGCCCAGTCTCCTGTGGAAAGCCAAGAGCAGAAATCCAGCTCCAAGTGCTCAGAAAGAATAAACGACAGAGAGCCCAGGCCACCTGAATTGGTTTTTTTTCCAGGAAAGATGTGAAGAACAAGTTGTTCCAAAAACTGTCCTCAGTTTTCCTTGTTCCACTACCAAGACGACAAAAAGCATCAGCTTCTCTCATGTGCGCTGAGTTCAGTACCTCAAATGCTGTGGACCACTGGCATCGTTTGACAGAAAACATATTCTTAACACAGAACATTTCTTTCCTCCAGCCAAGCATGAGCAAAGCCTCTCGCCTCCCTCACAATCCTCTTCCTGAATTGCAGCCCTGAGCTCCCTACCATGCTGCTGCACTTTGCCAGGTGATCATTATTCAGCAGAACTGCCATGGGAACAGAGGAAGACACTTCTCATCACTTCCCAGCTTCTAAGCACACATGTTTTAAGTCAACTGTTTTGCTTTTCTCCAGCTTTACTTCAAGCCTCAGGCACAGACGTCCCTGGATCCGCCTGGTCTTACTAACATTGCTAATGCAATATTTAAAGGCTGCTGCATGAACAGGAAACTGGGATCTATTTGTACCCACAGGCCCCAGGCACCATTCCTCAGCTTGCTCCAGCAAACAAATCCTTTAACAACAAGACATCTTAGGTTCACTTTTCCACTTAAAGGAAATGGGCAAAACTCAGTGCTAATTTTCCAGCAAAATGTGCGCTGCATTCCTTTTGTTAAGCAGCTCTTGCAGAGACAGTTACCCAGCAGTGGAAATAAAGCCAGGCAAGGAAACAGACCTGCAGGAACCAAGTCCTACTTGTCATACTGTCAGTGAGACACTGAATCACCGCATTCCAAGAGCCAACTTCAGAGCAAGCAGGCACCAATCTGTGAACCTCATGAAAACCAAACACCAGCATCATATTCTATGCACACGCATGCACAGTCCTGTCTTGTCTGGATTTGAGAAACAAGGTCCTGAGGTAAGGTTGATTAGAACAGCTTTTCTTCTGAATAACACCACAGGGACATTCTCCTGCTTAAGTACAATGAACAGAGTTCTCTCCAGAATAGCCCAGGCTCTTCCACTGTCACACCAGGCAGACCTGAACCGTGACAGCTCTGCGCTGAACAACTCCAGCATTTATTTCAGCCACCAGCAGCAATTCCTCCCAGTACGTACATTCCATAAGATTAACACTTACAGCATCAGGAAAATCCCATTTCAGTCTTTAGAGAACGCAGCAAGTCTTCAAGTTGCATCCAGGAAACTTCTGATGCTTCACATCTGTTTCCACGTGAGCCCACGGGGGTACGTGCACAAACCCCACTGTTTGTTAGCAGGACTGGAAATCCTGGCTTGAAAACACGCCCAGAGTGTTCTGGCGCTAACAGAAACATTGACAGATCTCAAATGCATTATAATAAATTCCTTCTCAGAAAATACTGGCCTGCTAACTGTTGCCCAGGA